AACAAGCAAAACCCTCCAGTGCTGGTAGCTCACTCCTATAATCCTAGTTACTCAGGAGGCTGAGTGCTGAGGACTGAGGTTTGAAGCCAGCTGGGCAGGTAGAAAGCTATGCGACTCATCTCCAATTAATGACCAAAAAGGAAAGAAAGCTGAAGTGGAGCTGTGACTCATGTGGTAATGAGCCAATGCTGAACATAAAAGAGACAGTGCCCAGGTCCAAAGCTCAAGCCTCAATCACCAAGGCTCTGAGTTCATACCCCAGTATCAGCACAAAAACAAATAAGCAAAGAATTGTGAAAGAAATATGGCTAGATATAAATTGTGTAAGATATATACTCTTCAAGGACAAACAAGAGTTTAGAACCTGTAATAAACAACGGCTTAGTTTGAAAGTAAAATATAAGACAAAAATCTGGTTGGGCACAAAGTGTAAGAAACAAATACTGCAAGCCGTAAGAATTGCAAAGAGCAATCCAAGACGGAGCTTAGTGACTGGTGCAAGACGTAAAAGATAAAAGAAAAATGAATGTTTCTTAATGAAAAAGTAATCAGTTTGGTGCTATCTCCTGGGTTTCAGGTATTATTTCTACAGACAAACCATATACTTCAGAAAATTACCTAAGAAATCACTAATACTCTTAGAAACATGTAAAATGTTATATTCTTGGTTAATACAAACACCTGAATTTTCCAATTCCAGATTATAGAAATGTTACTTTTCTACTAGTTACATAAACAGTCAACAAGAAAAAACAGGCATCATCTTGGCTTTGAAAAAATAAGCATATAAACAACAAACATACTTAAAACATTAAGAGGACATGATTAACAAGAAGACATAATATCCCATATCAGAGGCTAAGGCTTCCCCTCCCTCCGAAGACTAGCAATTTCAAATAGAGCTAGAATAGAGAGTTATACAGGTTTGTGAGGTTTTCCTCAAATATTTCAATTTGGATCATAGGTACAAACTTCTGCTCCTACATTTTTACCTTGTATTTTTTTCTCATTTGTCAATCTGTCCTAACACTTCCCAGTTCTTTTTTTGTTTGTCAGTCACAGGGCTTGAAATGAGGGCCTGGGTACTTGTCCCTGAGCTTTTGTGCTCAAGCTACCACTTTAAGCCACAGCTCCAATTCTGATTTTGTGGTGGTTAATTGGAAATGAGTCTCATGGATTTTTCCTGCCCAGGCTGGCTTCCAACTGCTGGGCTGGCTTCCAACTGCAATTTCTAAGATCTCAGCCTCCTGAGTAGCTAGGATTATAGGCATGAACCACCAGCACCCTGAACTTTCCAGTACTTTTGATTCAGTCACTAACAAACCTAAACTTCTTATGCCCCCTCACTATCCTCACCCTGTGCTACTTCCAAGTCCTATTTCTTTTAAGTTACCTTACACCTAATTTTAAATTATAGCTCATTTATTCTGTATTGAACTGGCAATGTATTCCTATTTTGTCATGGTCTCTCCATCAAAGCTATAGGCTCTGAAAGGAGCTTTAAGAAAGAAACCTCGGCTGGGAAGATGGATCAGTGGTGGAGTGCTTGCCTTGCATGCTTGAGGCCCTGGATTTGATTCCTCAGCACCACATAAGCAGAAAAAGCCCAAAGTGGTGCTTTGGCTCAAGTGATAGAATTCTAGCCTTTAACTGAAGAGCTGAGGGACAGTGAGTAGGCCCAGAGTTCAGGCCTCATAACAGGCAAAAAAGAAATCTTTTATACTTTCTTATTCTACTCATAGTGCATAGCTGGCTCACTTACAAAAAATTTGCTAGGGATAATGAAATAGGCTAAATCTAAGAAGAAACCAGAAAAACAAAAACTCACTTTTACTATTAAGTCTTCATGATAAATGCTAGAGAACCTAACCAGGTGACACATCTTAGCAATATTCTAGACATGAAATCACAAAGCTATAACTTTTTCCCCCAAGTAATACCTGTAATTCTATGGAATAAACCCACAAATAAAGTCAAAAGTTAACAATGTGTTTCACTGCATTGCAGATAATCAGCTTCAAAGAATGAAGAAAGACAATCCTTGATTCTCTTACACTCAAAGTCCTCTTACACTCAAAATGTTTCTTTTTCTGTGAAAAACTGCCAAAAAGGCTATGACAGAAATAGTTCTCTTTTCTACATCTCATTGTACTTTTATCTATTTACTCCTTTATAGTTGCCACCTCTCTCAACTAAAGCTTTAGCTATCCTTAATTTTTGTATTTTATTTATCTTTGTATTCCCAGGGCCATGTACATGGACAGTGCTAAATAAAAGTCACAAAATTAATGAGTAACACATCATGGGTTTAACTTTTTTTCTTAATGTGGATAATCTTCACAGATAAAAACAAAAGCAGCCTTGGTTGCAGAGCATGGCTTGTCAAGATGCTTGTCTCAAGGCATCTGTAGCCTGGGGGGGGGGGGGAGGGAAACCTGTAGGTTTTTTAGGAAGTGAGTTTGAAAAATGAAATTCATATTTGTCTTAGCATTATGCTATTTTTCTTAATTTCTAATACTTTTCTTAATTTGGTAAAATGATTTTTTTTAAAGCATCTCAACTCTAACTACCAAATGATGGAACATTTTATTAAAATTCCTTCACAAGGGCTGGGAAGGTGGCTCAGTGGTAGAGTGCTTGCCTAGCATGCATGAGGCCCTGGGTTCGATTCCTCAGCACCACATAAGCAGAAAAAGCCAGAAGTGGTGTTATGGATCAAATGGTAAAGCGCTAGCCTTGAGCTGAAGAGCTGAGGGACAGTGCCCAGGCCTAGAGTTCAGGTCCCATGACCGACCCCCCCCCAAAAAAATTCCTTCACAATTCTTTCAGAAACCAAATTTCCCTAGTGTACTTTAAATATATCTTACAAACCTAAAACAGAACACTATATAATGATTCACAATTACATTACCTTATTATATTATATTGCCTTTGTGATCTGCAAAGAATAAATATGGGTCATATATCTCAGGGAATGTTAAAATCGTATCTCTTTAAGTTGTGATAAAACATCTTTATTGTGCTACTTCATATTTGAAAAGTGAACATCAAAGGCAATGTTTTCTCTATATCCTGATAATGCTAAAAACTTTAGTACTCTTCATGAAAGTACTTAATAAGGGTACTTCAATTTAAAAACAATGAATTATGAGACTTAATATATACTGTACCGTATTTCAAATCCATAACTTTTCAAGGTCAAAATAATCTGTCTTCTCCAACGGAATAAAAAAGGAGACTATTTTCAAGATATTCAGGGTGCCACATGACAGAATTAAGATGATTATTTTGCAGCACATTTTTAAGAATTGCTAACATTGGACACTATTCCACTCCCAATGCTCTTAATAATTAATGTACAGAGAAGGGTAAAATAAGACACACTGACTGGGGTTAAATATTGTAACCTACACAAGCCAATCAAACCCATAGTTGTCTATAATATATAATAATATGTACTATCTAACTGATTCTCCTTGTCAGCGCGATCAACAGCTCTTCAACATAATGTGTTAGCTATAAACTGTAGTCTTCACACGTTTTTGGTGGCCCAACGTGCTACCCTCTTCTCTGCTGTTTACCAGATAACTAGATATGTGGGTTAATGATAAAGAACCGATATGTATCTATACACCGCAAGTATAAATTCTAAGAGTTCCATTTTACTATTAAAGTGAAATGAACTAGAATTGATAGTAAAAAACATTTCCAAACACATCTTACTAGTTTATCCTTAATCCAAAACATTTTTCCGAACAGTTACACCTAGATGTATTTTCTGCTAGAGATTTTAGAGAAATCTCCCACAAAGTGAGATCACCAGTCCTAAGAAACATCCCCTAACATTGTTTAAACTGGTCACTGGTTTGAGACTTTAAGTGGATTCTCCAACACCTGTAGAAGAGAGCATATCTGTAAAAAACTAGTAGATACAGGAAAGTAGCTCCCGGCGTTACACTTGAACCTTTTGAAAAATGTCATTGTGCCCGATTTATCACAAAAGAGCAAATTATCGACGTTAAGTTTTCATTTTAGAAGCACACAGGCCCGTGTGTATTTTAACTTACAAACACTGAAATTCTCATTTACTAAACATGGTCCAAACTGGTTTCCTATCAATCACATGGTAAAAAGTATAAGCATCTCTCCTACAACTTTCTCGGAATTTTCCTAAGCGCCCTAGTATAGTTGGCCCTCACTCCGAAGCACCTCTCAGCCCCGGGCTGCACGCAGAGCCTCCACCACCCTTGCATTTCTAATAAAGCTGGAGGGAGGGTGCGAGGGAGGGAGGGAGCGTATTTATGTGTGGATAAGTGCACGCGCGCTCCCGCGCTGCTCCCCACCCCCACCCCGATACTTTTCTTTAGTGGACAGAGGGAGAAGAAGAATCTAGAGGTTATGGCAGCGAAAACTCGAGATCCAAGCCCCAACCCAAGTCACAGACCCCCACCGATCGGGTGGGTCCGGAGGTTTTAGCTGGCGCCGGGCAACTTCTCACCAACCCCACTCCCGGCTTCGGAGCAGCAGATGGGAATTCCGCGGCCAGAAGAACCTAGGGAGGAGCCGGGCCGATAAGGAAAAAGTGAAAGGGCCGATCCCCGGGCCAGGCTTGAGGTTTAAGTTTGCAGCCGAGGTCGCGTTTCCGCCGATCGGCGCCCACCCGTCGTCTCTTCCCCCCCCCCCCACCGGCCCGCCCGCCCCAACCTTCCTTTTCCAGGTGGAACTCGTTAACAACAAGCGCCCCGCCACCTTTCCTTCCCCGCCAGCCCTTTCCAGGCCCGGGCAAGTGAGGGCGGCGAGGGGGAGCGGACGCCTGGCGGGGCCGGCGTGAGGCCGACCCCAGCCCCGTCACCTGTAGAGAGAGAGAGAGGGAGGGAGGGGGG